AAAACCAAGCGCCAACCATATTATTGTAGCTTGTAATTTGGCAGTCTCTTGTTGTATTCAAAGCAGTGCAAAACTGGAAAGTACGCAGTAGTGCTTTTTGGTATTTCTGCCAGCAGCTGCTGCGATTCCTTTTCGGACCATTGGGTCTGCTGCTGGAACATCAGCTTCATCTGTTTTGGAGTTCTGCTGTTCCTCCATTTCTCCTAACTCAAGCACACCTCACTCAAGTTCCTCCTCTAGTAAACCCAAATCCCACTTCTTACACCTGTGTTGTGTGCTACCCCAGTCTCCGAGCAATAAGAGATCCCAGGGGTTCCAAACACTTTCCCAGTATACAATCTGAGAATGAGGGAGCTCACAGCATTTAAAAAACCCCATAGAGTCTGCTACCTCTATGTTTCCAGAGAAGCCCTAAGGTCCAGCTTAGGCTCAGCACTAGGCAAGACATGTGTCTCTGTCAGCCACTTCCAACCTTTCACATCTGGTTATTGTTCTCCTATGTACCAGCTAAGTAAGTGGAGTGAGTGAAGGCCCACCCATTTGTTCTATGGCACAGAACAACTTATTTGGATATTCGAAATCACTCTACTTAACTAGCCAGCCAAAGCCATTACCTTATGCTATAAACATATGCCCAGATTGGTAGACTTTATGAACGCCTGCAATGGGCAGACCAACTTCTGTGTGTGAGAGTCAGTTATCTCACACTGCCTCTGTATTCTTCAGCAATAAAATGGGAGAGATGCTATATGTAAATGCTTTATTTTGTAATAATGTATTTTGTAATAATGTACCGAATGTATGTTTCATTTGGCCTGTGATGTGGCTCAATTGATTGCATTATTTGGTATGGTTTGATCTGCATGGTTTGATCTGCATATGCTTTCTTCATCCCAGCTTTCTGCTTATGATGACACCCTTTTGTCTTTGGTTATGTTGGGTTGAACTGTGAGAACTTCAAACTGTGTGGGTGTTTTGCTTGGCAGAAGTGATCTAAAGATGTGGTAATGCAATTCAGGGGGGCAAATACCTTTTCCTACTAATCCCTTTCTCCTCAAACAGATTATGTTCCCTAATCCTACCCCAGTACCTACATCTATCTTTCATTTTATTTTATTTAAACAAATTTATATTAAAAAGTAGGTAGCCGCTCAATTCAGATTTGGGCCACTTATCTCAGCCAACTTGTGGCCTGCATAACACATATCAGAAAGCTATTAACTACAGATTCATTACATATCTCGCATCAACCAAGCTCATCTTTCCAAATCTGTCCCTGCATCTGTGCAGACCATTTCTCTGGATCTTCCTTGCTGAGGTAAGTAATAAAACTTTGCTACATTACATGAGTCCATTTGTCCTTTTCTGTGTGGACTTGGTTCACCAGTTTTTCCAGCTGAGCGACATTCCATACCATGAGGTACCATGAGTCCAGAGAAATCTCATTGCGTACTTTACTGTTTTGAAACCCTAGCCTAGCTTCCACCAGCAAAAACAAAGAGTAATAAGTCTTTTTCTGCATTATCCCCTTGTCTGCCATAACTTTCTACAAGCATATTTCCTGTTATTTATAACCCTATTATGCTTTGTGTTGATTTCGAGTCCTTGTCAGCTTCAAGTTGACCATTCATAATTAAACAAAGGTGTGAAAAGGTTAAGTGATAACTGTCAGGTCACAGACTTGGTCTTTATTTCTTAAAACTTAACTTACTGCAACATTTTTGAGAAATCAATTGTTCATCCTCCGCATCTCAGTTGGTACTGACAGAGACAATCTACCTGGCTAATAGAGTTGCAGTGGTTTCAGACACCCAGTTTTTCAGCTGCATAATGGCACTTAGCAATTGATTTCAATAAGGCAAAAGTTGTGTGAAGAGTATCTTTCACATTTCAGCTCTGCATCCAGCAGAGTTGGTTGTTTTCAAGGTGCTCTCCAGGTACCAGAATAGATGCACAGATGCTAATTGTGTTGAGACTATGGGCAGCACCACAAGGGAGGCAAGAATTAGTTTTTAATTGAGCTTTAAAGCTTCTGAAAACTAGTATATTTATTAGTAAGATCAGAAACTTGCTATTTAAATTAGTGTCAATTCCAATAAGATTAGCTGTGTTACAATAAACTTGGTTGGATAGTGTTTTCAAGGTTACCAGCATGAGTTTGACCAAACTGCGGGAGGTAGTGGAGGACAGAGGTGCCTGGCGTGCTCTGGTCCATGGGGTCACGAAGAGTCGGACACGACTAAACGACTAAACAACAACAACAACAACAACAACAACAACAACAACAACAACAAACTAGTTATGCCACTAGATTCATTCTGCGTTAAATGCAGTTGGAAATTTTTGTTATGTTCATAATCTATTGTAAACACACACCAGATTATGGCACAATAAAACTGCAAAGAGTTTAATATTCAAATGGTGTTAATTATAGTCATATCTAAAAACAATTTCCCACTGCTGTAACTTGTTCCAGTGATCTGTATACAGTAGTTTAACATATAAATGCTATTATATGGTACAGCCACTAGAGGTCATAGGATGCCAGGAAATACATTATGCTATGTGCAGTCTTAGGTATTTTTAAATGGAAGTGTTCAAAGTAGGTCTTAGGCTGCATACTTAGAATAATTTAATGGAAACCGTGTTATTCCTTACACTGTTTAACCTCTGTTGGCCTTAAACAGAAAGGTGTTTAAGTATTGTTAAGTGGGGAACTTTTCCATTCTTTCAAATGATTGGGGAATTAAAAGGAATCTTATGCACTAGGCAATGATTGAGAAAACATTATTGCAGGATTGTGGTTATTTTGGATTAGTAAAAATAGAGCAGAAGGGTGTTAATCTGTGCTTTATGTAGCATTAGTGAGTCAAAAAAAGAGAAAATGTTGAAGACTTCCTAAGACCGGGAAAAGCAAATAAAGCATGGAGTAAGTATCTTGTCTACACAAGAGGAAACTAGGGAACCAAATAATATACATATTGAATAGCAGAATATCACTGAAGCATTCTAGTACCATTGATCAACAATATGTGGTGTATGTATCTAAAGCTTAAACAAAATGCCTTAATAATTACAAAATGTGGGAGACAGATCAAGCATGTGACACTTAGGGAAAGCATCAAAACTAATCGACCCTCTTCTAAAGATGTCCTTAATTCCACTGTAAAATTTCTATATACTGTACAAGGGGCCTCAGCCATTTGGAAAAGCAGGAAGAAGACCACTTGGAGAACCATATTCCTTGAAGTATAATTTGTTTTGGAACTACAAACTGAGAGAAAACAGCAGGCAGCACCTCTGTTTCTACAGCCCCTTAACATGAATGCTTATATTTTTAGCAATATGCTGTCCTGATTTCACCCTAATTTTATTTAGTAATCTCTGATGCTAGATAGTTGAAGTTGTATTAGTATTGGTGAATAGAGGGGCTGTGGTTGTGAACAAGCTGCCTTTGGCAATCTACAGTTATGCAATACATTTATTTGGACTAGCCAAGGTACCACAAAATAGTGAGCAAGCTTTTGAGTTTTTCTGAACATCAGGCTGGATGTTACATACAGCCAGAGGTTAGGAAGGAGGTGAAGCAAGAACATATTGGCTTAATGTTGTAGCCAGGTCTGCCCCTACATCTGATGTAGGCAGCAGATATTGGAGGTGGCAAGAGCCACCAACTGCTCCTCCTAACCTAACCTGATCTGCACCCCTTAAGTTAGCATGCTACCACAAGGTATGGTAGGAGATGTTATCTCAGCATTAAAATAAAATTCAAATGTTTTAAGTCATCAGTAGAGTTGGATTTTGTAAGTGCAACAGGGGGGATGAAAGTCCTGTAGTTACTCAGATTGGCCTTAAATTCCAGGTCAGAGCAGAAGTAAACAACAACATAGATATTTTTTATATTAGCAAAGCTGAATATCAGTTTTAGGTGATGTATTAGTAGGTTAAAAAACCCCAAAGCCAAATTAGGTAGTTTCTTCTAGGAGTTGGGAAAGACATAGTCCACAAAAAGCAAACTGTCTCTTTAGCTGGTGGAAAATGAATCTGGTTGTAGATACACACATATAAAATCCGTTCTGAAAATGCCTTAAAAAAAAGTTTTTAAAAAATACATTGAATTTTCCATAAGGCTCACCATTTCCATCTAGTGTCACATTGTATATTGCACTTAAAACACACACAAAACGTTTTCTTTGCAGCTGTAGAAACTGTTCCTTTTGCTAGATTCCTCCTCAACATGGGAAGCTGTCTTACATCAAGTCAGTTCGGCCCCACCTTGTTCAGTCCTTTGGTAATTCCTGGATCGAGTTTGCCCCAGCCCTGTCTGGAGGTGTCCGGCAGGGATGGAACCCTGTGGCCTTTTACCTGCGAAAGCACCTGCCCTACTACTGAGCAGCGGTAGAAGTTTCAGAAATTTTGCATGCTTGATAGAACTTGTTTTTAAAAATGCTTCCGGTTTTTCCCCCCTCCAAACCTTTTACTGGCAAGTTAAATCGTGTTTAAATTTACGATTTGCATGTTTATTTGGAAGGAAGTCCCCTGAGTTTAATAGGGGCTCCTTCCTAAGTAAATGTGCGTGGGAATGCTTTATTTCTGTCTTTTCAGCAACGTGCTTCGGATGCTCCTGTGAAAGATTTATTTATTAACGGTCAGAGACAGGCGGGCCTATGTGGGGGTGGGGGGGGCAGATATTTTAAGCCTCTGCAAAGGAGTAGCAGCCCGCTACGTGCCTGGGCTGGCGCACTGTCCCTTTAAGGGCTCCTCCCCCTCCTTCCTCGCGGCTCCTCCGCGGCGCTCAAGCACGCCAGCCTCACCTTCTGCCGATGACATAATTCCTATCCTCTAATTGGCTGCTTCCTTCTTCAGTCACCTTTCTCTGCCCCGCCTGCCCCTTTCCCCACCCCGCCTCTCGCCCGTTAGCACCCGGAGTTACTCGACACCCGTTGACGGGCGCTGGCGTCATTCAGTCGCCTCCGCGCCTTCGGATTGGTCGCGCCGCCTGCTCGTCCCGTAGCTCTGCGTTCTGGTGGGCGGGAGCTTCCGCGGCTGAGAGGAGCTGAGCCGGCGGCGGTGAGGGCCGGGGTTCTTTTTTTTTGCGCGCTCGGGGAAGTTTTCTGTGGGAGGCTGCGGAAGGGGAAGGCGGCCAAGTGCGGGCAGCTGGGATGGAGTCGTGACCAGGTGAGTGTGAGGGAGGCTTCGGGAGGGAGCGTGCCGGCAGCTCCTCGCCCCGCCCGCCCGCTGAGGGGGGGGGGAATGTCCCTCCATGTATGGGGCAGGGAACCGCCCCTCTGGGAAGCACGAAGCGGGGCTGCCCCGGTTGCTGGGAGAGCCTGGCCTTGGCTCGCCTCACGCTCCTCCTTTGCCCCACGGCGGAGGCTGGCGGGAGAACCGCGCCCTCCTTCTCCCGTCCCACACGAACCACGCAGCCCCCCCCTCCGTCGCCCCACGCCGTTCTCCTTTGCAGCGCCCCCTTCCCACGACCGGCCCTTTCCTTCGGGCTACGTGACTCTGGCGTGGCCCTCCCGCCCCTTTGCTATGCGCTCGTGAGTAAAACGGCGAATGTTCCGCCTCCCCAGCCCCCAAATAATTCCCCTAGAAGAGCCACCGAAGGTATCCTTTTTCTCCATCAGCCGCCAGCCAGGCTTCTGCTTTTCCCCGTAACGCCCCCCTCCGCTGTGTCATTTCACCGTTTTCCGAACGGATTTATCATCCCTCCCTTTCCACTGTTTTCAACTATTGGGTTTTTATTGGACGACAAGAATAAACCTCCAGGATCATCACCACCAAAAAATTATTGGGGTTGGTTTTTTTTTTTGGTCTTTGAAACTCTTTTCCTCCCAGAAAATTTTAATTGCAAAGGAAATGTAAATGTACTGGATCTTCTCTATGTAATTTCAAGAATGCAAGATTGTCCCTGATTCAGTTTCAGAATTGTAATCTGCAATCTGTGTGGAAGACTGTTTTGAGAATATGGGCTGAGCTGATCACACCCACCCACTGGCACATGTAGGAATCTGCGTTGAGCATATAGATTCAGGATGAATTATCATTTGATGCTTCCCAGAATCCTGTGCTGGAGGGTGGTTGAATGCGGCTGGCTCATTGTGGGCTGGAGGCCAGCAAGAATATCCTTTGCTAGTACTTTCCCTGCTGCTTAACATCCGACGATCTGAGCTTGTGAATAGAATCACACTGGCACTTATAGTTCATCCATAGTTAAGGATGCATCCTCTTTAACAGCATAAAAACATGGGACTCCTCTTGGGTTTCCCACTTTGAAAGCATCTGGACATCACATGGTAGCAACTTGCAGAAGAGTGAGCGTATTCACTGGTTGCAATAAAAGCAGGCTTATGATACCTTAAGGCAGGGGTAGGGAACCTCAGGCCCTGGGGTGGTGGTGGTTTCCAAATGCATCCTTTTAGGCCTCTCTAGCCAGTCCTTGGGGCTCTGCCCAAGCCACACCTCTTATCAGCCATTTGCCTTCCTTGAGTGCTTTTGCTTGGCAAGAATTTGTTCTTGAACTGTAGTAATGCTTCTTGTTTGCCTGGATGAAGAGGGGTGTGTGTTTGAATGTTGAGAAACCTCTGGTTTCTGTGTGGCTTGAATGTACAAATGTAAGCATTGCATCTGTTGCTTTGCCCACTTTTTCCCCTCTGGTGTTACCGTGTCTGGTAGGCGAGATCTAGAAAGTTCCCTGCAAGGCATTGTGGCCCTTAGGCTGAAAACGTTTATTATGGCATAAGCTTTATTGTACACTTCTTGTTTTCAAACACTGGAGTGACTTGTCAGATCAGTCCTGTGTTAGTAAGTCTTTATTGCCCTAGCTAATTCTGTAGCAAGGGATTTGCATACTTGTTGACCTAGTGAAGGTCTTGAGCAGGAGCCTCCCTTTTTGTTTCCCAGGGTAGTATCTCAAGAGTGCAGTTCACCAGCTTTGAGGAGTATAGTATGGGAAAATGGTAGTTATGGAATTATGGCATGGGATTGTGTAACTTGGTGAAATGAAAAGTACAGTATGTGAGTATAGGTGGGCAGAAAATGCATGAGCCATCAAGATTTGGTAGGCATTTTTAATCCAAAGATGAAATAACTACATCAAAATTTCCACTGCATTCCATAGTTTGCATTTCTATTTAAGGCACACAGAAAAGAAAGTGAAGATTGATATTTCAGGTGTGTAGAAAAACAGTTGGTATGTGTATAAATATTGATTTTAATTAAAATCATTTATAAACAGCTTGATATTTTAAAAATTGCTCTAAATGGTGTGCAGTATGAAACAAACAATATAATTAAAACAAAAATGCAATATAAAACCAATGAATGTCAGTTTTGGTGTCATTGTATACAGATAGAATATAAGGATGAATAACTTCTAGGTACAAAATATGCTCTGAAGTAGTTCTTTAATGGATACATAGCAAACTGTACTCTTCATTTGCTTCTGATCATGAAGTTGAAGCCCTTTTGCAGTTGGAGGATGGAGAAAGAACTGTGATCAGCAGGGTGCCCTTTTTCTATCATTGGGATACCCTGGGAAACTCACCAAGCATATTGCACCTGGTGCTGGGTGTGGAGAGTGCACCTGACTGCTTAATGTAGTGTTTCTCAAACTTGGGTGCCCAACTGTTGTTGAACTACACCTCACATCATCCCTCACCACTGGTCCTGCTAGCTTCGGATTATGGGAATTGTAGTTCAACTACAGCTGGGGAACAAGTTTGAGCAACAGTGGCTTAATGGAACACAGGTGTGTGGGCAGCCTGACGAAGCTCCATCCACTTTGGTGCCTGCCCATAAAAGCAAGCCCTGATCATGGGACAGTGAAGCAGCTGGAGAAGATAGGGCAAAGGCTGGAGAAAGAACTGAGTGGAGAGGCGGCTTATTTGTATTACTGTAATATTTTTATATGTTAACTTTTTTATAATATTTAGTGTTTGTTTCAGTTTTCTGTATGCTGCATAGATTTTTTTAAATATATTAAGTAGCGTAGAACTGGTGTAATAAATAAAATTTCACTGATGACATTGCTTCCAGGCCTGTTTCCTGCTTTCTGTGGATAGCTGACTTCATACATGACAGAAATATGTTTAGCAAAAACTTGCTCTGCTAATTAAAGTGGTTGCCTAGGAAGTGGTTGCAGAATGATTTTTTTGAGGGATATTGCTTATTGGAAGTTTGCACTGCCCATCTGTTGTTATTATGAAAGCTGAATAACTTGGAGTTTCATTTTTAGTTGAGTTTGAAGTCGATAGTTCTTACATCATCTATCCTTATGAATCATCAGGTTTTTGGTCTATTGGGACACTTAAATAAATCCTTCATGTTGGTAAAATAGTTAATACAATGTATGATGAAAGCTTAAAAGGGAGAAATGGAAGCTAAGGTGGTGGTAGATTGTAAGCACATGCTATGCTAGCAGTATGTTGAATACTAATAGTACTAGGAATCTAGTAAATTGCCTTATACAGTGGTACCTCTGGTTACATATGCTTCAGGTTACATACGCTTCAGGTTAGACTCCGCTAACCCAGAAATATTACCTTGAGTTAAGAATTTTGCTTCAGGATGAGAACAGAAATCGTGTTCTGGCGGTGCGGCGGCAGCAGGAGGCCCCATTAACTAAAGTGGTGCTTCAGGTTAAGAACAGACCTCCAGAACGAATTAAGTACTTAACCTGAGGTACCACTGTACTGAGTCAGACCTTTAGTCATCTAGCTCAGTATTGATTACACTGACTGGCAGAGCTTTCCAGGGTTTCTGACAGGAGCTTTTCACAGCCCTTCCTGGAGAAGCTGGGAATTGAACCTGCAAGTGAGGCAGATGCTCTAACACTGAACTTATAGCCCTACGTATAGCTGGGAATTTGGAAAGACCAGTGAAGTCCAGATATGCACAGAACTCTCAAGTGAAGCATGGTAGCGATAATGCCCTTTGTTGCTTGGCCCACCATCAGCTGCTGTAAAAAAACTGTCCTTTTTGAATTTGATGAATTGTTTTAAAAATCTGTGTCTGCTAGTGGTCATCACAACAACCTGTGACAAAGAAATCCATAAATTTTATTACATTATGTGAAGGATTTTCTCATCATGTGCCACAAGTTTGTTGTCTTTAAGTTCTCTTGGCTGAATTGTACTGAGAATTTTTATTTGCCTCTCCTTGCTGTTAGTAGTTTTGTAAACCTTTATCAAATTGAGCCTCAGACACGAACATATTTTTTAACCTAAATATTCAAAATTCTTACGAAGAAATGCGGAGGGATATTACTGATTGTTTTAATTTCCCTTTTCTCTATTTTTGTAATTTACTTAAAGTGAAACTTTAATTCCTTTGTGTTGGTGAGGTCCTACAGGCATTTCATGATCGTTGAAGATTACAGTTTCTTTCAATTCATCATTCTGTTAAAACCAGTTTGCTTGAATTTCAGTGAGACATTATACATCTGAATATTTTGTTTTTACATGTGTTTTTAACTAAAATAGAAATAGCATGCAGATTGGAAGAGGATGGGGAAATTAAGTAAAGGAATGCTCTGCACACACCAGCCAATTCCAGAGCATAGTGGTCGGGACTCAACTAAGTCCAGTCAGTGGAAGCCCTGCACAAGGACTACTGCGTGCAATGGGTCTTTTTCCTTTCTCCTCCATCCACTTCCTCAAAATTGGCTCTGGGACGGTTGGGGATCCTTTGGTTTGGTCTGGCAAGCCCAAATGCTTCCCTGCCAAAACAGTTGTTTTAGCACAATGTTGAATTCCTCCCATAGTGTTTCTGTGCTTGTGTGCAAGATGTCAGAATGATACAGAATTTGATATTGGTGAGTGCAGCATTCTGCATGCACAAGGACTTGGTCATAGGGGTCAGTATGCAAACAGCTATCTGTCCTTTGCTGTGTCTTCCTGCCTAGGCTTTTAATCACATCTGTTCTTTGCTTCTTCTTTATCTCCACTCTTTAGAAATCACATGAAAATATAGGGATGAATTCAGCCTTTGTTCTTAGTTTTGCTGTATGTATAAGTTGGAACTGTCTTTATATTTTAACTCACTGTTTTGGGTTGCAGCCTTACCTAGGAATAAAGCACTTCAGCTCAGTATAACTTCTGAGTAGACATACCTAGGATTGCATTGCACATTTGTGGTACTGAAAGTTGTGTTGATTTTAAATAGCAGTATAACTT